CTACTTCCGTAGTGATACTGCCTCGGAAACCCAAGGAGGGGTCGCTATGAGTCGGGGCCGACTCGATGGCACATAACAACAACAACAACAAAATGTATTAACAGATTAAGAAATAAACATTTTTCCCCAGAAAAACACTGAAAATTTTATTCCTTTTGTTGACTTGAGAGCAATGGTCAACACAGTTTTTTTTCTGTTCTTTGTTTGTTTTCAATGCAAATTAGGTAGAAGGAAAATATTGGCAAAGAGAAAGCACCTATTTGTTTGAAACTTAACATTACATCTTCTCCTGACATGGCTTAATCTCTGATTTTCTAGCTTCTGCTCTGACCATACCAACTACAGTGAACCATTATGGTGCAGTGAATTACTTAACATGGCCCTTCTAGTCATAGTCTTGCATTTTGTGATATATTGTAAATCATAGCCTCTATGCCAGTGGTTATGGTCCCATTTTGGAATGAATGTTATATTATGTTAATGAGGCAGGATTAGAGTGGGATGTATCTTGAATCATCACCATACAAGAGGGTGTGACTTCAGTCACCACCCTTAATTTTCCTTGAGGGTATGGTCTGCATCAAATACATATAAATACTCCAGCAAAGTTCTGTCTCTTGCTTAAGATCCTGCATTTAGGTCATCATCATATGACCTCCAGTACTGAGGACTTGAGCCAGTATCTTATCATCTGACCTGATTCACCAGCTTCTGCAGCCTTGTGAGCCAAAAACCTGTTATCTGACCTACTTATTTGAGTCCATCAGGCCCTGCAAATATGTGATTGAGCAGAATCCTCTAGACTGACACCTGACCCATGGATTTGGGACTTGTCAGCCTTCACAATGAGGTGAGCCATTTCCTAGGTGGTTCATGACTTCTGTGAGATGTTACAGCAAATTATGGAATGCTAACAGAGGATAGAGAGTACTGTGGGGAGGAGGAGTGTTTGGTATTAGAGATGGTGGAGTGGTACAGCAGTTAGGAAAGTTAGACCTTTAAGACATTTTAATCCTCCACCTCATAGGAATCAGCCTTGTGCTCATCTTTCTAAAGGGAACAATGTTTAGAAAATTCTAGAAATTCTCTTTTTCTTAGACTTTTCTGATACTGCTCTCTCCAGGTTAACTTCTTAACTCTGACCATATCTTTTCCCTTTATTCTTTCTTTCTTTCCTCCTAAAATGTAAACATTTGCTCATATGTTCTCATTAAACTCTCATTTTGTATATTCCCAGCCTTCACTAATTCATCATCATCCACCTCTCATCTATATAAAGATAATGCCTAAATCTACATCATTTTTAAAGTTCCAGATGAGCAATTTCATCTGCTGGCTGGGTATAACCACCAGCATGTGTTTCTATAAAATGTATATGTAAATATGTGTGTGTGTGTGTGTGTTTCTATAAAATGGTCAAACCTAAACTCATGGGTTTATTTCTCTCATATGTTCTTTCTTCATCTTTCCCATGTTATTTAACTTTAGAGCTCTCAAAGTTTATTTTCACAATAAAATCCTCAGTTTTAGAAATCTCCATTATTACATTTATGTTATAATAATGCTACAATTTTAGAAAACCAAAGTTAATAAGGAAAACTTCCTAAATTTCAAACCCTGACTAACTGGCTTATTGTTTTTTTTCCCCTAAAAATACAGAGGAACTTTTATTTTAAAGAGTCAATTAACTTGCACATATCATGGCTTTAGAAAATATGAGAAGTGTCCAAGTTCTAATTTTCAATGATAAAAGGGTAGAGATAGGAATTACAGAGCATGAATTAGTTTTTCTTCACAATCCCTTCTTGTGGGTAGGAGGGGCCTTAAATCTTCTTCCTAGTAACTAAGATGAGAACATTAAAGAGCAGTCCCATTCACTGTCTTCCATGCAACAGGAGCTCTTTACTGCAACCAATAAGGATAATACTAGGAGATGATTTCACTGGTGGATAGAAGAGAGAGGATTCTGCTCTGCAGATATTTCTCTCACTTTTCTCTTTCCATCTGCAGGACTCATCTAGTCTCCTATGGACAGGCAGAGCTCCCTTCAGTTGCTTTCATTTGTTTTTGTCTATGAAAAGCAGAATGGATGTCATTTAAAAGAGTGTCTATGCTTCCAAGAGTGCTAGAAGACAAAGCAGATGATGTGCAGATGGAGGCACTGTAGCATGCACCCTGAAGTATGGAAGACTTGGGTGGAAGTGATATCAAAAATAAGTTAGACTGAGGCCAACCCAAATGAAATAAAATTACAATATTGAGTAGCAGATAATTTTGGATTAATAGAAAAAAATCCCCTTTTAAGAGATGGTATCCAGTCTCTGTGTGGCACAAATGGATAATGTGCTTGGCTGCTAACCAAAAGATTGGAAGTTCAAGTCCATACTTGTTGGATGCGTCTTGGAAGAAAGGCCTAGTTATATACACCCCCCCCCCAAAAAAAAAAAAACAGTCATTGAAATCCTGTGGAACACAATTTTACTCTGAAACACCTGGAATTGCCATGAGTCAGAATCAAATCGATAACAACCGGTACTACTAAAGATGTTATGGATTTACCTGGGAACTACTTACTTCCCCTACCAGTAAAAGTATGAAGCATAGGTTGGCAAATAATTGTTGGGAATGTTACAAAGGATATTTAAGCATTGGCTATATGGTCACATTAGACGATTTTTCAATGTTTTAAACCGTGAAAAACTATGATTCTCATTCTGCTTAGTCACATGGTTATAGTCCCTCTAGCCTAGGCTATTCTCCTCAGGCTAACATTCATCTTATGCCAATTATTTGTTTTCCAGGATACAAGACTTGTTTTTCTTTTAACTTTTGTTCACTAGTCCAAAACCAAGTAGCTCTGCTGGTTCGGTAGTTAAAGCATTCCAGTGCTAACCAAAAAGTCAGCAGTTCAAACCCAGTAGCCACTTCATGGGAGAAAGATGAGGCAATCTGCTTCCCTAAAGATTTATAGCTTTAGAAATCCTATGGGACAGTTCTACTTTGTTCTATATGATAACTGTGAGTGAGATCAACTTGATGGCAATGGGTTTGGTTTTGGAGTTTTAGTCCCAGACCTTGCCATTTTCCCTAGAAGAAACACTGAGTCCTTCTCTATTACTCATATTCAGTGACTCTCTAATAATATGTAAATGTAAGTAAGTAAGTAAGTAGATAGTCTTATAGGAAAATAATGTTTTGCACAAGCTATTTGTAAGAGATACATACACCTGATATCTACATATCAGATACGTATAAACCAAACTCACTGCCATTGAGTTGATTCTGACTCATAGCAACCCCTACTTGGGTTTCCAAGGTAGTATCTCTATAAAAGTAGGTTGTCCAATCTTCCTTCTGGGGAGTGGCTGGTAGCTTTGAACCGCCAGCCTTCTGGTTAGCAGTCAAATGCCTTATATCTGATATTTTAGTATAAATATACATATATGATGTATATTTGTAATAAAATATACATATGTGATGTACTATATTAATATAGTAATTTATATTAATATATCAGGTATGTATATAATCTATCTATCTATATACAAATATGATGAAATATGATTACTTAGAAGTTAGAGTCGTCACTAGTGGAAAGTTGAAGAAACAGAATTAACTGGACAAGATAATTTAAGCCAAATAAGTTTTCTAGAACTAAAAAAAAAAAAAAGAAAAGAAAAAAATCCCTATAGAACTGGACCAATGAAACTTGGGAATATTTTTTATAGTTGATCACTGTCTGTAATCCATTTAGGAGTCTTGTAACCTCCTCACATCCAGACATTTCCTTAAAGAGTACCAGATCAGTCAGCCTTATTGGACTATCAAGAGAACAACTTTGATTTCAAAGTATACAAAATGCTAAATAGTTGGGTTATACAGGCACTAGTAGTACACGTGACCAGGTTTTATAAAACAACTTTTTCTAAGTGAAGCAAGCAAACACCTGAAAATCTATTTCATAAAACCATTCTTGGTAACGGTCTTTTATTTAAATTTTATAAACTTACTAGCTTTTTATTAATATTAAATAACCTAATAAGTAAGTAACTGCCTATCTATCTAATAAAGGCAAAATAGAACACCAATTTAGTAATTCCTAAATTACTAATTCCATTAGGCTCATGGGGCAGGAATGGTTAGACATAATCCCACAAAAAAGGTCAAGACTAAGGTAAAAGGTATCCCAATATCCCTATAAGAAGCCTCCTACACACTTATAATGCATGTCCAGGCACAGTTTAGCACACAGAGGGGGTGCTGAGCCCTGCAGCAAATATACATTTAATTAAATTTCTTATTATATCATAGCTGCAACTCATGGCTCTTTGGCTTCTTTTAAACTTAATTTTTTTTTTTTTTTTTTAATGTCAAGGTAAGTAGCAATCAGGGTTAGTGAGGGAAGAAGAAAAAGCAAAAAAGACAAATATTAAATATAGAGAAATTGATGAGTTTTACAGGTATTTGTTTATAAATATACTATATATTTTTCATGTCCATTGAAACTTGCTTACCTGCTGCTAAAGTCTGTCCTGATCCTGGAGCACTGGTCACACAACCAACTGAATTGCAGAGAGAAATAGTAAAGCCATATATCCTATAAGGTCTCAGTCCTTTTACAACATAAAACAATTCTTGGGATTTAGCGGTGTATAATACCTTTGAGGCAAAAAAAAAAAAAAAAAAAAGAGATAATACATTATAAGTGTAAAAATATATCATGGCAGTCAAAGTTCCATGAATTAAGACAGTGGGAATTATTGACAGCTCCTATTAGGAAAAGAGACTTTTTTTCCTGAAGAGTCTCAACAAGCCAGGATTTAATTGATAATTGTACAATCACACTGTTTTATGAGGTAATAATCCAGTTCCTGAGTGGATAAATGAGGAAACCAAGTTATTGCCTCATAAAGCAGCGTGGTGGTATGGTTATTGTCACCAATGGTAGAGATAAAGGATGGTGACATTGTCATTGTTATTGTGAAAAATCCAAACAAAACTATAGGGCTTGGCCAAAAAGAAGCCAGGGCAGTTATGCCCACATGCTATTTGATGGAACTAGTATAGAAAGATGCCACTATGTTAAATAGATTCTACCATTTTCTTAAAAAAAAAAAAAAGCCACAGGAGAAAAACATAGATTTTGATATTAAGTCTCCACATTATTTTGTTCTCCCCCATGTCTTCTCTTACTGATGGGAAAGTAGAAATCCAATAAAAGTTAGAAAAAAAAAAAAAAGCCACAGGAGAAAAAAAAAAAAAAAACCTATTACTGAACATCTATGCAACTGACTTGAATGAGGTCAATTCTCAATTACCTTTCTTATAATATATCCACATACAAATTAGAGCAAACAGTTGTATTTTCTAAAATACGGTCTTTATCATAAAATATCAAATGGAAATAGCAGATTTGAAGAAAGGAGAATGAGAAGAATGCCATAGTCCATAAACAAGTAATTAAGCAACCAACACTGAGAGTTGGACCTGTCATCATAACTACAATTGATCAAAAGCAACCATGTAAATTTGCTTAGGCTGCAGATGCAAAGGCCACTGCAGATAACACAGGGGGGAAGAAAAAAGTCATGAAAACAGATAGTCTGCCACAAAGCATGTTCAAAAACTATATTTCTTCAGAATACTTATGCAAACAATCTTCCATTAATACAAAGATAGGTAACTATAAAATCAGGAACATTTACAGCTGTATTCTAGGTATTGCCATTTAGGAGTACCATAAAATTCATTTGGAATGTTAGCCTGGGTATTGACTTTAAAATTTCATAACACAAATGAGTGGTTCTAGAAAGCATTGTGATTGATAGAATTGTGATAGATAGAATGTATTGTTTATATAATTCTGTTCCAAAATAAAGAGAGTTTCAAAGATTCTAAAACTCTAGAAATAATTTGTATCCTTTTCTTGCAATTATATTTAGAGCTCAGACAAATATCAGAGCTCTAGTTGTTAATTCTGTATCTAATTTTAAAATGGGTATTGAACTACTGGAGATGTATTTTTTTTTTTTTTCTTTTGTGCAAGATGATTTAAAATTTTCCAAGAAAAACAAAAGCTTGAAACAAGGAAAATTTCCTGAACATTACTATAAAATTTATCCCAGGTAGAACAAGTCTGATGGAGCTAATATAAGTTTTCAGAAACTGAAATTGGTTTAAGGATAAAATTTAACATTAAAATACTTCTTACTTGTTTTAAGGGGTTGACCAGTTTTTAACAAGTTTTTCTTTGTAGCAAGAAGACATAATAAAATGTAATTAGAAATAGAAAATGCCGAGTGTTACTAATTTTGATGGACCTTGGCATCTCTACAAATGGTTGTTATGATACATGATTTTTAAAGTCTTAACTTGCCCCAGAGTTCTTGGCATAGACTATTATCATTTAGATAAACCTTGCCTTAATCATGTATATATAGTGAATATAAAAGGAGCTGTGGTAGTGCAGTGGCTAAGGCATTTGACTGCTAATCAGAAGGTCAGTTGTTCAAACTCACCAGCCGCTGCCTTGGAAGGAAGATGAGGCAATGTACTTCTGTAAAGATTTACCACCTCAAAAACCCAGTGGGGTTGCTATGAGTCAGAATTGACTAGATGGCAATGAGTTTGTTTTGTTTTGTTTTGCTTTAGAGTCTCTTTCCATGTCTTTAAATTATCTAATTTAAAGCTTTCCATGGGATAAATCTTTAAAGGGGTGAAAAAAAAGTTCACAGAAGCTTGAAACCCTACAATAACATTGTCACCACTTCTATATATTTCTTCTGCCATATTCTTAGGCAAAGATTCCTTAACTACTTTTGCAGTAGACACTACACAGAAATTCTGGCTGTTTATTTACCAAGATTATAATGAAACATACTAAGTTCAGTCCAAATACAATTTTAATAATTGAAAAGATGAGCATTTTTACATTTTTCTGCTGCATTTTATTTGACTTCTCTGAATATATGATTAGGTGAATAGATAATTGTGTGGTAGGGGAAGAGTGTGAGTAAGAGCAAGTGAGTGAGAGAAAAAGAATAAAGTGATATGTCTGTATCGTTCTTCCAACTCAGCCACAAGGAAAGGACTTTTAAACAAACAAACAACAAAACAAAACAAAACCCACTGCCATCATGTCAATTCCAGCTCAAAGTGACCCCCATTGGGTTTGCAAGGCAGTAATCTTTATGGAAGTAGATCGCACCATCCTCCTGCAGAGTGTCTGGTGGGTTTGAACTGCCAAATTTCTGGTTAGCAGTCAAATGCCTTAGGCTATTCCCCTGCCCCATTAAATGATAGCTACTTTATAAAGTGTAATATCATCCATTCCTCAAAATAATAAGAACAAATAATGAAATGCTAACAAAGCTCTTCTAGCTCCACAGAGAGCATATGGGTAAAGAGGTAAAGAGATGTGTGATATAGCTAGTAATTGAAAGTGAGTTACAAATGCAAGTTAACTTTTAAGCCTGTTACAAACTCTGGGAAATTTTTGTTTGTGTGCATGTATGTGTGTGTTTGCTTTTTAGGATAAAATAATTACATAATGCAAGTAATAATTGTTTTGAAACTTGCTTTATAAAGAAAAAAAAGATTGTTTACAAAGCATAGGAGTAGCCAAAACAACAACAAAGCAGAACTTCAAGGATAAATATGGTATAAGATATGACAATTAAAGTACAAAGACAGTAGTTATAACAGTAAATTTAGCTTAAGACTCGTAATATACTGAATTAGTAGACTAATTGTTTTAGTTGTTTAAGTTAAAAGATATGCATTACACTAGCTATGTTTTTATTGCATGAGGTAGTTGCAAATTAGTCAGCATTTATATCCAGACTAATGGAAAACCATAACAAGAAATCATAAAAAATTCATAGACTCTTTTTCTTCTCATAGTATATAAAATAAGATTATGCATTTTATATATGTGATATATATATATATATATA